GTAAAATATCTGAGTTTTGAAGATTGTTTTAGGATCATATTTACAATTAAGAAATAACTTCACTTACACTTCAAATATTTTTAGAAAGTGTAAAAGTGGGTTTTTTGGCAGAGAAGAAGAACAAGCCAAGCATACATCTTAAAAATTTCTTCCTTAGTTTAGCTGTGTGAAAGGGATGTTGTCATCAAAAAAGAATATTCAGAACCAAGACAGTAGATATAAAATTGACTAAGCTTCTAGAATCGTAAAAGTTACTGTATTCATGATGATGGATTAAAATTAGTTTTATTATATTAAAAATAAGCGTAGTAAAGAATATGTAACAAATGTCCAAGACATACTGTGAAAAATGGACTGCTGTCTCAAAAGAGAAATCCAGAATAATTTATGACATGTAATGAAAACAAGCAGCTCTGTGAATGAAGAATAACTTTGTAGTAGAAAGCCACCAAGCAAGATTGAGCACAGTCCACAATTGGAGCTGCACTTTGGTTTTATCAAAGATGGCTGGCAGTAAAACATGAGACATAACTTCACGAATACCAGCAACATAAATTCATGTGGGACCTTCAAAAGGTCATGTGACCCAAAGCCCAGCTTAAAGCAGGTTCAGTTATATCAAGTCACTAAAGACCTAGTCAAGTTTTGAAAGGTCCTTTTCAGGTCCTTTTCTGCATAGCTGCTTTACATGTGGTTGGCCCCGAGCGTGTACTGGCGAATGGCATTACGACAGAGCACTGGGACAGATTGCCCAGAGAGGTTGTGGAGTCTCCTTCTCTGGAGATATTCAAAACTCGCCTCGATGTGATCCTGTGTAACCTGTTCTAGGTGAACCTGCTTTAGCAGAGGGGTTGGACTAGATGATCTTCTGAGGTCCCTTCCAACCCCTACCATTCTGGGACTCTGTGTTTATTCCTCCCCTGGTGCTGTCATTGAATGCCATGAGGTTCCTGTCAGCCCATCTCTCCAGCCTGTCCAGGTCCCTTTGAACAGCAACCCTGCTCTCTAGCATACTGACCACTTTTTCCCAAGTTGGTATTGTCCACTTACTTGCTGCAAGTACATGCAACCCATCATTCAGGTCATTAATTAAGACATGAAATAGTTTTGGTCACAGTTTTGATTCCTGAACAACTGTTAATTGGCTGCCAGTTGAATTTTGTGCTCATAATCATCAGACGTTAAGCCTGGCTCACTGTCTATTTATTTTCCGTATCTTATCAATTTGGCTTATGACTGAGTATTTAGCTAGTTGTAGGTTCAAGCAAACTCTTCACATAGCACTTCAATATACATTTAGGATATGGTGGTATTTTATGTTAAGGCAATCAGTTGCTGTGTTTATCAATTTGCTAGTAGATAGACAAAGCCGTCAATGTACAAGCTGTGATGTATGAATGAATGCATCTGTTGGTTCATCACCAAGCAGTTTTATCTTCATGTTACGAAAACTATACTTTGGATAAACAAATAACAAAGAGGCCAAATATTTACTTATTTGTCTATTAGTTCAATATTATGCCTCTCCTCCTGTCCTTTGTTAAGTAACGTGATTCCTATTGTTCAAGAGGACATTATAACCTATAAAAGTAAGTAAAAATTATCAACGAAATAGATTAATGAATAAAGTGAATAACATGCTTATTAAGTTGCATTAAATATTGTCATACTGAGGCCTACAGGAAAGATGGAGAGGGACTGTTCACAAGGGTGAGTAGTGACAGGACAAGGGGTAATGGGTTCAAGCTGAAGGAGGGTCGATTTAGATTAGATGTTAGAAAGAAATTCTTTACTGTGAGAGTGGTGAGGCACTGGAACATGTTGCCCAGAGAGGTTGTGGATGCCCCATCCCTGGAAGTGTTCAGGGCCAGGCTGGATGGGGCTTTGGGCAACGTGGTCTAGTGGAGGGTGTCCCTGCCCATGGCAGGGGGGTTGGAACTAGATGATCTTTGAGGTCCCTTCCAACCCAAACCGTTCCTTCTATGATTCTATGATACTTCTTTTTTGAGAGATTCAGACAGAGAAGTTGCTTCTCTGAGAGTAAACCACAGCATTATAGGTTGCCTGTAGGATAATTGAAATGAGAAGTAAATTGTTCTACAGATCAATAAATTGTTTCTGTACTATAATGACAGATAAGCCATATAGTTTATTGAAAGAAAGATGAAGGTCACCTATATGTATTTGAACAATGTTTTAATTAGCATAGATTAAAGTCCTGCAAAGTGGTATGACTATCCTATATAGTACATTAACTGGAAAAGTGTACCGATTTACTCATTTCATGAGCTAAGTGAATGCATCTGAGTGAATGTTAACATAAAAGTTGAGAACCAAATAAACCTTTACAGAATTTTGATCCGTAAGCCACCGGGCAGCTCCTCTAGAACAATTTCGAGCATCCCCAAGACTGTTTGAAATTTCTGCTTTACAACAGCTCCTGGAAGGCTGCGATGCTGGGAGTGTAGGAACAATCTGTTCAACTTGGGCAGATTTGGTGCAACAGTTTTCATAGACTGGTACCTGATCCTCAGGGCTCCTAACTTCCCAATCAATTTTTAGAGGGTTGAGACAGATTCATAGCTTACAATAAAGAATCATAAATTCACAGTCTATACATCTCACATCATTTTTAATGTCCTATCAAAATTTATTCAATGCCCAAGGAAATGTTCAATTGAGCCTTCAGTCAGTTCCTCTACTTTCCAGTAATAAAATTTACAACAATTTAGTGTTTAGTCAGAACATTTCCAATTTGCACCACTAGTCTAAATAGAAGTCTATATTTTACCTAACCTTCATGTTGCTGAATTTTATCCCCTTATGTGTTTGTTGGTTTTAGATAGTATTGTTTGTAATTATCTATTTGGATCATATTTGTATGAGACATCTTCAGACTGACTCTGTGAAACGGCGGTTAAATACTTGTTGGGAGACATTTCTGAACTTATGATCTAAGAGTTTTTATTTTTTAACAGTTTTCTTTTCATTCCATCTATTTTTTTTTGAAACATTTCAGTTCTACAAATACTGACAAAAAATTAATGAGTGATTTCAAATATTTGTTTTGCTTGAAGTTTTAGTATTTCAGAATGTTTGAAGCTGGTATCAGTAAAATGGTTTTCTGAAACAGATGGCTAACACTTGGGGTGTGATTATAAAGCAGAGTGTCGTGTCATGTGGATATATTTGAACTAGCTTGACTATTTGGAAGTCTCTAATTAGTTCACCCTTTCATATGGGTTATAACACTTCCAGTTCCTGAAATGGCTTGATTATATAACATATTCTTTATGGCCTCTACATAACATATTCTTTATGGCCTCAACATTTTCCTTTTTGGAATGCATTAGTCAGAGCAAAAGTGTCAAAAGACCACATTTCACATTTATTTTAACAATAAGTAAATTTGAAAATGAATCTCATCCCATCACTATAATTTTATGTATGAAATAAAGCAACCAGCAATATGAACATGTCAGTTGACATCATCTCTAAGCATGAAGCATTGCAAAAGAATGCATTGCAGAGCATTTATTTGGAAATTTGTGAAGATGGCTTTATACGCATATCAAAGAATTACATCAAAGAATTAACTATGCGTTTTAATTCAGTCAACTACTTAGCAATTTTCCTGTTACGTCAGTGAAAATACGAAGGTATTTTCTTTTTTACATGGTAAATTATACTTTTTTTCTTGTTCTGCTGGACATTTCTTGTTTCCCTTGAGATTTCCCTAACGCATGGTAACTTATTTTTTGTTTTCCTAGGAAACCTCTCTTTCTTTTGTACTAACAAAGTTTAGGGCACTCATTCATCCTTCACATACTAATATTTGTTTATTAGTGTTATGGGCTAGCATTACAAAAAAAAATCAGGACTATAAATAGGTTTAGGAACCATTGTGCAAGTAATTAGACAAATTTGTCATGAAATCTTCTATTTTCTAGCAGTTGTCTAAAATTAGTTGTATTTTAGTGATAACAACCATTCCCATTTGCAACTTCTGTAGTTTCATAATTTCTTCAGTCCATCCAACAAGTAGCGTTTTGCTGCCATAATGCAGGTTTAATTCAATTTAAAATTTGCCTTTCTCTTTCTACATGCTTACTGAGGGCACCTCTGCAGTCATGCTAGCTGGTTTTAACTCAGCAAACTGTAACAACATGTTAGTTTTGATGTGTATCATCTTCTGATCCACTGTCCTGCACCTCAGTGTGCATTATTGCATTCACTATTGCAGAATGCCTAAAAGGAATATCGAAGAAACTTTGTAGAATTTCAGAAGATATGTAATAACAGAAGCTGTTATTTTGCTCTCTTTTCTGTGTCGATGGTTGGCCTGTGATATAAACTGTGCAGACTGTTGGGGAAGGATTTGGATGGGGTGTTGTTTGGGGAGGGGGGGTCAGTATGTGACACCTATTGAATGTGTGTTCTCCTTTTCAATGCTGGTAGGTTTCAGCATTTTTTTTTCTGCTGTGTTACAACACAGGATTTATTACATTCTTCCGTGGAAAAACATATGTGTGGATTCCATGTTGAAAAATGTTGATGCAGTATTGCAAAACTGATCAAATTTTAAAAAAAAATCTAAATATAACATACAATTATTTTCCACTTCAAAAGTACTCATTTGACGACTCATTTGATGGTAAGTTGGTGAAGATAACTATATTTTGGTTATGGAGAAGATACACCTTTAAAAGTACTGGTGTGAAGTAAGCTTCAGAGTTAATATCTGTGTTATGTGATGAACAGCAAAAATAACTTACAGCCAAAATCCTGCATTAGGTAATTTGGATTTTGAATAGGGAATGAAGGCATCTCAAGTAAAATACAGTTCCTTTTAAAATTCTTTCATGAATTTGTCAATTTTGCATAGGAAATACTTTTCCATTTCCATTATGTGCTTGAAGTGTATCAAGCACATAACGTTTCTCTAATTTAGATTGGCTAGAAAATGTCCAAGCTATTGTGCTTTTTTTTTTTCCCCTCAGAACATTATCAGCTGTATGTTCCTGAATCAGCTCAAGTTGGATCAGCAGTTGGCAAAATCAAAGCAAATGATGCAGACACTGGGTCAAATGCAGACATGAAGTACACAATTATAAATGGTGATGGCTCTGGCGTGTTCTCCATATCTACTGACAAAGAAACAAGGGAAGGAATTCTTTCCCTGAAGAAGGTAAGCAATAGACTTTGAAAATTCCCTGTGTGTGTAATTAAAATGTAATTATAAATGCTGAATAAGCAGATACCATAATGAAAATATTTTACTGTGTAAATTTATTGAACCATGAACTTCAGCAGTGTAAGCTTCTCCATGTTGCTTCCTGAGATACTTCAAATCTTTGCAGGAAAGGCAAGGAGAAAAGAAATTCAAGGAAAGAAACAGTTGTTTAAATTTTCTGTGCTTTTTGAATGGTCATATCTAATATTAATAATAAACTAAAACTTATTGAATTTTTGATTAAGAATTTTTGATTAAGATATTTTAATTTTTCTGAATGATGGTTTTGCACATTAAATTTATTTGAAAGAAGTAAAATTTGGCTGAAAGTTGTACTGTTGTCCTCACACTGCATAGATCTTGACAAAGAAAGGTTATCTGTGACAATGAATGTATAATTCAGTTTTCATAGACTGTTATTCTTTGACTTACTTGCCAGCTGGCATTTAAGTGGTCAAGTACTGTGCACTGTGTAATGTAAACACCGACTTGCTTATAGACTCAAAATGTAACTGGTCAAGCCATCACACAGTTATCATTTATGTGAATTTCCTATATTTATCCCAGTCTATTTAAACTATTAATTATAAAGTGTTCTTGCCATTTAATTTAATTCTTAACTGAATTCCATGCACAAATCTAATTCCTTAGATAATTTCATCTCCTATTAAGTCCTATGAGCTGAGTTCATTGTGAACGTTTCCTGAAGTATCTGCCAACTTATGCTAATATTCTATGGCTAGATTTACATTTACTTTTATAATAACCCAGAGAGATGGGTTATTATATTTAAGTAATATTTTTAAAAAAAAACTTTTCCAACAAAGGGAAATAATGCCTTTATTTCAGTTTTCATTTGGACTAACAGACATCAATTAGCAATTCTCACATGGATTTGTTGTTTTTGCATCTTGAAGGCATCAATTATATCGATACAGCCTAAAAAATAAAAGTGAATTTGTATTCATATTTAGTAATACATATTCTGGGCCTGATTAATGGTAGGAGGAATGAAAACCAGAGAAAATGTGGGAAAAGAGAATAAATAAAAACTATCATAAAGAATGGGGGGTTTTGCATCTGAAGATGTATGTAATTATGTAATTTTTATTTAGTATCTTAAAAAAGATTTTCTATCTGAAGGAAATGTCATTTTTAAAATTCTTAATGATTTCCAAAGGGTTCCTATCTCTCTCAGTATCTTTAAAAGCTTTAATTCAGTGTCTTTTATAAAGGTTGCATAATACCCACCTCTTTCAGCCACATAAAAGTAAACTCTGTTGTTTTTATACCACTGAACTTATTTCCTGGTGGCCTTGATGTAGCTAATGCCATAATCCCTTATTTCTTCTTCAAAATGAGCATAATTCTCTCTTTAAAAGTTCACTATGACTATTGTTCATTAAATACAACATTTATGCATATTGAGAACATGAAGCAGAAAGGAAGAATTTGCAGCAAAATGAAAGAGTCCATACATAAAAAGTGTAAAATCACATTTCTTACTGGTTTTGGCAGACTAGCTTTAAAGAAATTTTCACTATGTTTTAGAATCTGACAAAAGCATATGTTGCCTGTTCTTATAGATAGAGATGACAGTGATTTGAATCATTTTCCTATCAAGACAAGAAGGGATACATTTTGCTTAGGTAATGTTATATTTCAGTTGAGCAGAAATTCAGCACTTAAAGCTACATAAATTGGTGTGGAATACCTCCATTCTTTCCTCAGAGAAGTTATACTATCCCCTTGTACAGTACAAAAAAGGTGATCTCATTTTTTTAATTGTTTTTTGTGGTTTTTACTCAGATCTTGTATGCAGTTTAGTAAGCATTTTATACACTGTGTGCTGTAATTACTTTTAATTTAGTCTGGGTTTGAAGCTGAATTAGTTTTATAGCCTACCCAAAATAGATAATCTCCTCTAAGAACAGAATCGGTTTTGTTTCGTATATCAGATCCCAGTACCTTCTGTGACAGTAGAATAGACTGATTTGTCCTCTAATACTTCTCTAGAAGAATGTATAGCAGGCACATCAGAAAAGCCAGGAGTAACGATATTATTGTGTCTGAATATTAGAAGTCCTCCTCAAGTCTTTCAAAACTTCACTTATTTGCAGTTCTGAGGCAAAAATCAAATTTCTCAGTGCCTCCATGCTAGGGTATTCAACAGGCATGCAAAGTCTGTGAGTGTTGGAAGGAATCTTTTCTAGTCTCATTCTGGGCTGACCCAAAAGGTCCGGTACTTTCATTATCTCCCCTATTGACAAGCCCTGTGGAGCCACCTTTCAGTCTCAAAGATCCTTCCACAAAGGGTTGATTGCAAACTGTCATGAAGGATTTCCCCTTTGCCTCATGCAATTCCTGGTTTGTGGGGGAGACTAGAGGAAACCAAAACAAAATAGCACAGTGAAAGCCATTTCCCTCTGGATCCTTCAGAGAATGACTGGTCAGCATGTTCTCCCCTTCTTGTGACTTTTGGAGAAGTATGCTAGAACTTTCCTGACCTTCAAATCAGCAAGTATCATTCAGGCTTCCCAGAAACAATGGTCTGAACAGCCCGTGTCTCTTCCATTTTGTATAATGAGACTGGAAATGTTCAGGAAACAGCTATTTACTTCTCATAAAATTCTGCTGTTCCTTTTGGGAGTCTGATATAAGAAACAGACTGCAGTGTAATGAACAGCACTATTTTCTTGTTAGCCCTGTGACTGGTCACTTGAACTACATTTAGTATTTTCAGTTTTGCATGAAAATCATAATAATCAATGAATACATACAGAAGATATGTGGGTAATTGTCATGGAAAGACATTGTTATTTGGGAAACATGAAGAAAAACTCTTTTTAGGTCCATCTAAAATTTAAATGTTTGGTTGTCTTTCCAGGAAAGAGATTATAATCTTCAGCATTGGGACACTTTTAAGTAAATCTAGAAATTATCTAGAATTCTAGAGAGACAGGAAAATGCTGCCTCTCATCTTACAGCTACAGCTAATGACTGATATTCAAGGCCTCTCTGTGAGTAAAATGAGGGACAATTTAAACTTAGGATCTACACATTACAAGTGAATGTCTTTACAAGTCATTTATTTGAGTATTTGCTTCTCTTGGAGAGAGCAAAGGGTCAGGCAGGACAGAGCCACATCTTTCTGTTTGGACTTAAATGAGTCCTATTGTGAATCTGATGGGATAGTTGAAATATTTCCTTTATAAATATAAATTATTTTTCATTATCATTTTTATACCCAAACTCTTGCTGAATTTAGTTTAGGCATTTGAAGCTGAATGTTGATTAATAGATCATAAAAGGCGGGGGGGTTTTTTTTAGAGCGAATAAAAACCTCCTACTGGTAAACAGTTCAGATTATGTGAAATAATGGATGAGTATATGAGCAAATTTCTTAGCACAGCATTAGACGTGCTATAAATGGGGGCCCGATTTGTTCTTAAAATGTCAATTTTAACACATGCACAATGTTTAAGCCCAGCAAAATACAGTTCTGTAAATTCAAATTGGAAAAAGATTTTAGTTTTTTAATATTTTATCAAAAATAAAAGGAAAAATGATGTAACAACTGTCCTTGTGTGTTGTTCAAAGATGTGGAATATCACAGGGCTTGCTTTTCTTTTAAATTTCCTTACTTTTCCTCAGGAGAGAACAAGAAAAATTGGAAAAAAAAAAGATACTAATTATGACCCCTGGTAATAGTAATCCTTAGTACAGTGTGTGTCTTTTCTGTCTAAAATAGCTTAATGTTGAAAATAGTGTTGTTTTTTAACCTCTGTGAATCACAATGCAGAAGCAGAAGCTTTTTTTCTCTTATGTCCCAGTATCTGAGTCTTTAATTCAGAGACATTATGGGAAGAAGAAAGAAAATGAAAGTAAACATTGCTTTGGCTATGCTTGAAATGTCAGCTTTTTCTGATTATCTGAATGGATTATTCTTGTATTTCTAGGAAAAAAAAAAGTGTTGGTGTTGTCTGATTGAATAACTACATAAATGAAAGAAAACAAGACTTTGTGTTACTCCTTGTGTTTTTTTCTGGGAGAAATTAATCTCTCTTCCTATACAACCTAATCCAGTCATTGTCAGTATAAATTTAAGTTAATTTTCCAAAAAGGCATCGTAGTTACAATTGTAAACTTGTTTAATTTTAGAACATATATGCTGCAGAGTGATGCAAATTACTATTTAATATTACCCTGCTCATAACATAAATATATCATAAATTAATGAACAACATCTGAGTTAGAATTTACAAAACTTATATTTCTCTATGAATTGATTTAATTGAGTAGTATACTTATCTCCTTTTTTTTTTTTTTTTTTTAATAGTAATAGATTTATCAGGCTATGGTAAATTTCCATGCCTTTAAAATTTTTATTTTTACATTCAGGAAAGGGAGACAGAGAAAGCAAAATACAAAAAAGTCTCATACTCTTAGAGTTAAGAGAATTAATTAATTGCCCTTCCACACACAGAGGAGAAATCAAAGAAATATATAGCATATATAAATCCTGACCAACTATTTTTCCTATACATCATCAGTCAAATTTACTGTAGATTTTATCTACAAAATACACTCTGACATTGACAAATCACACATTGAGTTCCTCATATTTCTTGCCTTAAGTACTACTTTTCCACTCTTTGAGGTGATAGGAAATATCAGTTTAGCCTTGGCCAAAGGCTTGAATACTTGTACTGAGTTCTGTTCAGGCAGGCTGTCAGATGCACACAGAATGATACTGGTCATAGTGGAATTCTGCCATGCCATAATGTCATGATAATTTTGATTCTTTTTTTTTTTAAAAAAAAAAAAAAAAAAAAAAAATCATGCTTATTCAACTTCTTTTAGTGTTATGTTTGTGTTCCGAGACTGTTGGAAACTTAGTGGTAGTATGTATATATATATCTCTCTGTACAAACTACCTGCTTTGCTCAGTATGATAATAAATATTAACCTACCTGTCCTTCTTTATAAATTGGCTGAAGCTAGAAGTTTGTAACCCAGTAAGTACTGAGGTGTGTATTATCAAGAACGAGTGCTTTTGCTCAACATAGAAGCACATTTAAAAAAATAGCAACCTGAAACTTGCAATCTGTCCTATGACTGCCTGGGACTGAACTGGTATTTCTTAAAGCTTTTTCAATAATTAGAACTAACAGACAATATATAGAAAAAATAACTTCTCACATGGAATTCTTGATGGGGTCTTTATGAAAAGTAGTCCGTTCCTTTAGTGAGACTGAAGAAACCAACTCAAAATAGTTGTGGTCCTGTAAACATGGCTTCCAGTAAAAACATTGCTTAATTATATCTCTGCTAACAGAACTTCATTACTTGTGTACTTTTAAGTTAAATATCCTTTTAGTCCCCTCTACTACATAACAGTCTGACACTGGAAGAGTTGAGAGTTGGGTGTGTTATGTTTATCTTATATCTTGCATAAGGCAGTGTAATGGCATGCTAATGTAGGGTTAAAATAAATATATCAGGTCACTAAAATTACTTCACAATAATCTGAAAACTAGCTGAACTAGGAAGATGAAATTTTCACGTGTAAATAACAAGCAAGCAATGTGACTCCTAAGAAAGAAACTATCCATGATGGGTGATATATGAGTCAGACCCCCAGCTTCTTCCTTACTAGTGGAGAGGAAAGATTCCTAGTAGGAATCTATTGATTTAAATAACAGAGCAATGCTAAAGTGGCAGGGCGCTTCTGGTGGATGGTACAGGGGGGCTGGGTTTTACTGGAACATTAGGCCCTGTAAAAGGCATAACCCCAGACTTTCTTCCCATTTATGGTGGCATAATCCATGTGCAGCGCAGCAGTATATGGTAAGATAGGCTGAAGAGTTATCTCTCTCATTGTTGCTGGTGAAGAATTGAAAAGAAAATGATCTAGAATATAGGGATGCAACCTTTCTGATTAGAAAAGCATACAAGCACATGTTTATGCTATTCTTATACATTTAAGTTCCTGTCTCTTATGATAACTGTTTTCCTGCAACTGCTTTTTTTCAGTTGAGGATTTAAGAGAAGAGATGCCCAAAAGAATTTCAGTATCCCTATCACAGTCTATTAAAATTGTTAATTAAAGATATGAAGTTAATTTAATTTGGGATACATCAATCTCTATCCTTTTCAATATTTAGCATTGACCAATAAAATTCGAAAGGTGGTAAAATCCAGAGACTTTACATTATCACAGAAGAAGAATCTGAGGCTCATTCTAAACCCTGAGTTTTTCCAAGACTGGTACCTTAACCCCAATTATGTTGTAGAGAAAACCTGAATCCATCCTGCTTCATGTATATCCTTCTACTTACAAGGTATGGCAGTGGCTGCCAGACAATCACAGAATATTGTCCCTTTCCAGTAACATGAGGAAGTGTGGTTTAAGTTAAACGAAAAAGATGTAGTTAGCTTGCTAGCAGGCTAAGCCAAAGCACAGAATGGCATTGATAAATCTTTTTTTCTGCCAACAGCCACTCAACTATGAAAAAAAGAAATCATATACACTTAATATAGAAGGAGCAAATACTCACCTTGATTTCCGCTTTTCGCACTTGGGACCATTCAAAGATGTAACAATGTTGAAGATCATCGTTGGCGATGTGGATGAACCTCCGCTCTTCACTATGCCTTCCTATGTCATGGAAGTTTATGAAAATGCGAAGATCGGGACTGCTGTTGGCGCAGTAACAGCACAAGATCCTGACACTGCCAACAGTTTAGTGAGGTATCATAAGTCCAAACTATATGACATTGAATTCCACTGGCTAAAGGGTTAATGTGACCTGGAATGTATGAAGCTATGTCTTTTATTTTAGAACATAAAGGGAAACATAGATCAGAACAGTGTCATGATCAGTCTGTAAGGTTTAGATTTAATAACATAATCTTCAACCTTTTGTTGGTTTGCATTAAAATTGCCATCTAGCCATCGGTCTGAGCAAAGGTCTGTGTGCACTAGTTCCTGTAACAGCATCTCTCCAGACGGTGCACTGCACAAGGCCAGTATATGTTACCACATCATATAAAATGGTGCACTTCATTGGCCTGCTGCCAAGCAGTACCCTGCCACTAGTTGTAAATCTGCTCAGGATCATAATGCTGGTTTTCCCCTGCCATACTGGTATTGTGCTGGCCCTCTGCACACTTGCCACACTGTAGTTGTCCCAGGTGCTTGTGCAAGACAGGAACTGGTTTAGGTATGCCTTTCCTCACAGACAAGCAGTATAATTTTTGCAAAATTGTGTTTGAGGAGGATGCCATTACTTTGTAATATCCTTTAGTGTTAGTGGAGTATCGAAAGAATAGTATGGGTGTAATAATGCACCCCACTGATGTTGCCAGGGATATGTCGTGCCATCTCCAATTGCAAGGTCTAAGGCAAACTGCTGAGAAGCAAACACTTGCAGCATCAGATATATCATTTGAAAGCCAAGTGAATATGTAACATACCAGGAAGGAAAGATTTTTATAGTCTTTTTAATGAAATTCATTCTTAAAGAAAATGTTCTCATTAAAAAGAGAAAAAAAATGAAGGAAGATTTCTGTGTTGCTGCTCTGGCCAGAATACTTTTTATAATAACAGAACTGGTTTGGAAATAGGTCATGGTGTGAACTAAGAAACTGATATCCAGCTGGAAATACCCCCACAGCAAGCTTGAAAAAGCAGTGATGCCAAAAATATACATATAGATGTTAATTTGACTTCTTCAACGTTTAAGAGCTTTTGGATTTAACCTTGAACACTCTGGAACTGGGGTTTGAATTCATTGCTGGTTTAAAGCTTTCAGTTACGTGTTTTCAGCTGTATTAGGATCCAATGACATTTTTTAATGGCTTCATTTGTGGGTTGAGTTACTTTAAACTGACATGCAGTTTGAGAATTTTGTGGAACAATATATGAAAGTTTGTCTCAACAGTAGTAGTGGATTTAAAATGTTTCAGAAAAAAAATTCTTTGCAAAAACATACTTGATGTTATTCCTTTTTGTGACATAATGGTATAGGCTTTGTGGAAATCATATGAGTATATACTTGGAAAACAGTTTTTCTTAAGCTAATTGGGCATTTTTAGTCTCATGACTGAGTTGAAATCTGCTGGGTATGTGTAATAGTCATGGTAAGATGAAACAATTTTTGCAGAACAATGAAAGCATCACGTTTTTATGGTTCTCTTGTGCTAATAGTCTAACATTCAAAATGTTTAGTGTCAGACAATCAATATATACAATTTCTTAGTGGCAAGTTATTGCCTTTGAAAAATTGCCATTATGGTATTTGTGTCTAAATCATAACATAAATAAGAAAATTTCACTAAAAATAACTGCCAAGTGCCTGTAGCTTTAATACTATAATTCTGAAACAGCAGCTAACACAGTCAGACAGATTAGCCACCATGGTAGTTTGGGAGTAGGAAGGGCAAGTGCAGATTTAACTAGTTCCTCCATGATTTAATCGTCTGTGGCCCCTAAGAGTTTTGTCTGGAAAGGGGTAAGACAACTGTGGTAAAAGGGAAGCAGCAGCAGTTTGTACAAAGTCTGGGAAGGCCAGAAATAGATTTTCTGGGTGAAATGGGCAATAATTTGCAGATAGAGGGATTGGAAGGAAAAATATTTCTAAATATTTTTTTTAATTGGGCTTTTTTTTTTTCCAAATAGGAATTTATAACTAGTGATTGAGGCCAGAATATTAAATAGCCTTATTATTCAAATAATCGAGGAGAAAAATTGTTCTTACCTTTGTCTATCCTATTTTTTCCCCCATTGACATTTATTTATGCATTGTTCCTTCCATCTGTCTCTGTTTCAGTGGGGAAGAAAATAAAGTGCTAGCAAAACATACCGAATCTTGAAGCTCTGAAAAGAGCCAGCCCTCACTTGTGTGTTGCAGGGGGTCAGCAAGCAGTAGCAGCTCGTATATCCTTGACGTATCATTATATTCTGACCTGGTCAGTCTCTAGCTGAGTTTCATCTCGGTGGAACTAGCAGTGACTGTCTCTTTATGGGCTCTTTATGAAGATCATAGAAGCACAGAATCATAGAAGCAATGGCTTGGGTTGGAAGGGACCTCAAAGATCATCTAGTTCCAACCCCCCTGCCATGGGCAGGGACACCCTCCACTAGACCACGTTGCCCAAAGCCCCATCCAGCCTGGCCTTGAACACTTCCAGGGAGGCGGCCTCCACAACCTCTCTGGGCAACCTGTTCCAGTGCCTCACCACCCTCACAAGCGAAGAATTTTTTCCTTTTATCTAATCTAAATCTACCCTCTTTTAGTTTAAAGCCATCACCCCTTGTCCTGTCATTACTTGCCCTTGTAAACAGCCCCTCTCCAGCTTTCCTGTAGGCCCCTTTTACGTACTGGAAGGGTGCAATAAGACGCTGGTCCTCTAAGGCCTGGACTAGCACATTGGTGCATGGCACTCTGAAGAGGCACCGGGCTGGGTTGTTGTGCCCTCAGATTCTCCTGGAGCCTCCTCCTGCAGGAGGAAAATGGCTGCTCTGGGAACGGGCAACTTTAACCCCCCTTCCCTCCCCTCACTTCGCGCACAAACGCTGACACGGTGCAGAAGGGCTTTGTGTTGGTTCAAGATTTGGCCACGGCTTGGGAAACTATGGGTTGGAAGTGGCGCACGGCCTGAGGAGCGGCTCAGGCTGGCCGGGCTGAGCTGCAGCTCCAGCGGAGGCAGGGTCCTGGCCCACCTCACAGCGGCCAGCGAGGGAGCGGCTTGGAGGAGGCTGTTTTTCTCAGAAATGTGCACAGAGTGCACTTACGCCCTTCTGTGCTGGTTTGCAAGAAACGCCTCCACTGTTCGTCTGAAATGAACCCTGATAAGTTTAAAAGATAGTCTGATGGTAACGAGATCATGTCTCTCCTTCGTTTCCACACAATTCCAAGTTCATTCAAAATAAAAATATTTCCATTTTTATTATAAAAATGAAACCAGGGAGATTCAATGCAATGCTTAGAAAGCACAGATCATACAGTCTGCAGGGAAGATAGCTACAGATAGGACTTGCACAGCTGATCTGTGTGGAGCAATGGAGTAATGGAGTAACGGTTCCTCAGGTACATCTCCAAATGCTGTGAGTCTACAGGACAAGCTACAGAGCAGTGATTTGCTTAACAGTTTTTCCTTGTGCATCCTTTCCACTTTATGAGGATGCTCATTGCTGTGTGTGAGATCGATAAAGCATTAGACACACACAGTTGCAACCATATCACTTTTTTGTTGTCCAGCAGCTAAAACAGATAGTGCTGTGATTTGTTCACTGCCCAATTAAGTAACACTTTATTTTGGTGGCAGGAATGATTCTTATAACCAGAATAATAGTTAGAGGAGGAGTAGTTACAGTAATTAACAATGCTGAAAGGAAATAATTTTTAAAACAAACTATTTGAGCTCAAACCCCCAAATAAATAACAACCTCTATCATTATAATTACAGAGGGAGCTGAAGGGGTTTTTTTCTCCTTATTTCCTCACTGTGATTTCATCACGGTGATTTCAGCTTGTTCCTGAACTGAGCAGTCTTCAGAGGGCACTGACTTGGAGCTAGTAATTTTACTACTGTTTTACTTTTTCAACCCAAGCAAAAGAATGTCTGCAATAACAAATGTAGCTATTAGAGGTTTCTTTTATTCAGACATTATCTGGTTGGCAATTTGTGCTGTTTTAAAGGATTTTTCTTTCTAAGTTGATTTTTTTTTCTTCAAATAGAAATGCATTTTCAGGGAAACTTTTAAAAATGCTATGTTTTGAAATAAAAGATTATTATTCTATTGAAATATGAAAAGCAAACATAATGATAGAGAACATAAAAAAGAAAGATATTAAAACTCCCATCATGTATTAATTTTAAAGATAAAGATTTTTTTGAGTGGTTTGAAAAACAGCTGTTTACATAAAAAAATGTGTTCTAAATCAACAGAAAACATCCTAAATTGTAATTCATTCACGGGGATTACTGCCTTGTTGGAACACTTATGAGAAACTAAACCCCTTTCATTGCACTGTGTAAAGTAGTCTACTTCCATACCAAAATCTTTTGTTGCTTGAAAAGAAACAGGGTTAAGTTATGTCTTACAATATCTGGTGCGCAAGTGGGTCTTGAAAGTTTCCCATACAATACGAAAGAAAGCATGACTATTAAATGCTCTAATTATAATTTTATTTTAGTATATTATTTATTTTAAATCTCTCCATACTTACTTAGAGATTATCTTTTTTCATCCTGAACCTGTACACAGAAGACTTCCTTGGAGATTAGGTGTGAAAATATCTTTTAACTGGCAAGTTGCATATGTGCATTGGGAGCAGCCCTAGGCTGCTAGTACTGCCTCAGGGCTGCGGTGGTGCCTGTTGAAACCCTGCCATCCTCCTGTAGGTGGTTCTTGGGTGGTGTGTCCATCTAGCCACAACCCATACTCCTGATGATCCTTGGAGCTTTCTGACTGCATCTGGTCTGTTTTCAGTGGAGTGGTTTTCATAAAAATATGTTGCTGCTGTTCCCCAACCCTCCTCCAAGTCAGTGATTCAGAAAAGAGCAAACCTCACACTAGCTTGATCCCAGCTTGACGCTGTCCTATGATGAACTGAAAGTCTTTATTAACACTGCACCCTGGTAAGAGTAGTTTTTGAGAAATAAATCATGCTAGTATAAAATATTATAACGTCATCTCACTCCTTTTGCTGCTGCTGTGCAATCTTTGCCATGCAGTGGTACAGG